ACTTCGGTTTCTGGGAATTTAATCGCGATGGAGCGTTTTACCGGAGCGGACCGTGCGTTTTGTGTGCGCGAGTTTTATAAAAACGACAATTCGGCAACCGTTGCGCGGCGTAAATTTCGAGAACACAAAGGTTTACACAACTTTGACGACACTCCAACTCTTCAAACGATTAAGAACTGGGTTGCTAAGTTCGAGGAGACCGGTTCGACGTTAGATAAACCGCGGTTGGGTCGCCCAAGGACGTCACGTACGGAACAAAACATAGACACAGTGACACAGTCTATTCGCGAAAATCCGACACAGTCAACTCGTAAGCGCGCCAGAGCATTAAACGTATCCAGGACATCGTTACAACGGATTTTGAAGAAAGATTTACATATGCACCCTTACAAAATTCAGTTGGTTCAAGAATTAAAGGAAACTGACGGTATTCAAAGACAAAATTATGCGAATGAAATGTTGAATCGGTTTACTTCCTTCAATAACATAATGTTCTCTGACGAGGCTCATTTCCATCTTAACGGGCATGTTAGTAAACAAAATTGCCGCTATTGGAGCCCCATCAATCCAAAACTTAAGCATCAGAAGCCCTTACATAGTCCGAAAGTGACTGTTTGGGCCGCTATGTCAGCCCATGGTATCCTAGGGCCTTACTTCTTTGAGGATGGCAGAGGGCGCGCAGTTACTGTTACGTCGGAGCGATATGTGGCTATGATCGAAGAGTTTTTCATACCAGAATTGCAAAACTTTTCAGGCTTTAATGCCAGGACGTGGTTTCAACAGGATGGGGCCACTTCTCACACCTCTAACACTGCTATGCCCGTTATCCGTCAACTTTTTCCTGGCAAAGTTATCTCTAAGAGAGGAGACATTTCCTGGCCTCCACGTAGTCCAGATCTGACCCCGATGGATTTTTTTTTGTGGGGCTACCTTAAGGCTAAAGTATACGACACAAACCCGCGGTCAATTGAGGCCCTAAAAGAAAACATCCGCAGAGAAATGACAAGCATTTCAGCAGTGACGTGCCGCGCAGTCATCGACAATTTTAGACGTCGTTTGCAAGAGTGCCGTGATCGCAACGGATTACATTTAGGAGATGTTATTTTAAAAAAATAATTCCCGTTTTTTAAGCTTTTTATGTAAATAAAAATTTAATTCATAATGTAATTAGTTTTATTTTAATAATTTTTTTTCATATCAAAGGACTTATGGGCCACCCTGTATATAAGTATCGGAATTCAGTATGGACGTGAGTGAAGTGTGTCAAGATTACTGAGAAAGGTAAATAAGCGAATCGGGTGTAGTGGTTTAAAAAAAATAATTAAGTACATTATGTGTAGTTTACCTTGAACGGACGGATTGACAAATAACTTAAAAAGATTTGGTAGGTAATGATAATTAACAATTGTAATGATTTAGGGAAATGCCTTTTTAATAACGACATTTAGTATTCATACTTCATATTTCTTTTGTGTGATTACAAAAAGCACCTAATTTAAAAAAAAAAAGTCGTGCCATACAAAATACGTCTATAAAATATACTTTTTACGCTAAGTAATTTTTAATAGAAAATATATTTTTCTTTATTCACAACATAACGCGATATATTTTCCTCTACCGAATTAATCTCAATATCAGATCTCTATTCGTGTAAAATATTCGCCCAACTATTAGTACTACGTTGAGATAAAATAAACATTTTTTTTTAATAGAAAACAACATCTCTATTGCACTAAGTGTTAAATGTAAAAAAATATTATTCAAAATTATTATTGCTTTAAAAAACAATTTAAGCTACACATCATAACAATTACAATTCTAGAAAAAATAAAATACGTAATTGCCTTTGTTACTGGAAAATTAAGAATTGAGATTTTTTTTTTTTTTAATTCATGTAATTTACTGCTAAACACAGATCTCTGCTATATTTAGGAGGGATCGAACTCCGAGATTCCATTGGAGATTGTAACGAAGGCACTTAAAATTATTATTGTCCAAATCAAACTTTCACTAATAATATTCTAATAAAATACATTTGGACACTATATATCTATTATACTTAATACCTAAAATATTTCTGAACTTTATTAAAAGATTAACATTAAGCAAAGTTAACAATAATTTAATCTCTTCTAAATCAACTATTATGAAAGCGATAAACAAATCTATAGAACCATTTTAAAAATATGTATGTTTATTGTACATTAAGGCACTTGGGGATGCACGAACGTTCTTTTAACTTGTAGAAGTAACTTATAGTGGCCGTTTTCCAATTACAGCACAAGAGCGCATTATGCGGCATAATGCTCAATCATGCATCTGTAATTGGAAAACTACCATTAATTAATGGTTAATTACAGAGCATAATGCGACTCAGTGACGCACAATGCCGAATTATGCTGAAGCTTAGTTGAGCATTATGCCGCATAATGCGCTCTTATGCTGTAATTGGAAAACGGCCTAAATAGCTGAACTATTTATTTATACATATAATATATATAAATACCATACACTCGTTGACGCAAATATAAAGTGATTTATACGAGGAAGACTTTTTTGATTTTAATTTAGACTAATAGAGCTCTCGAAACAATATATTTAAAAAAAAAAACACGATTAAAATGTTATTCTTTGGTTTCGTTATGAAACATTGCCGAAGTTAAAACAAATATGGTCAACGAGTGTACGAAGGCTATTCTAGAATAAACTTTCGAAATCAGTACGATATGTGAAATAGATTTAACCGTGATAAACTAAACTGTTTACAATATGAGTACTTACTTCATGTCACCGCCATCTTGTCGACATAGTCTGCGCAACCGATTTTGATACTTTTCACTTAGCGCTAACGATCATTCTAGTTCTGTATATAGCGGTTATTTATAGACCGTTCTCTGTACCTATATATGCTGTAAGTTATCTTAATTTCACCTTTAAGCCTGATATTAAGGCTTATGTTTCGTTTTGATGGCGTTAAAAGTGTTTATGAACAGAAAAACAAACATTTTTTTCAACATCTTAGTTTTAAACTATCCAGAGGCCATTTTTGTACACTTTTAACGCGATCTATTTTTAAAGGGTAACCTAAAATTTTCGTGGTTTAACAACGTCACGGTCAAGCGACAACAGAAGTACAAATTACAAGTAAATATAGTCGATGGCGTGTGCCATTTCATTTTAATAAAAAATATATATATGTAATAATAATAATAAATTTGTTAATAAAGTTCATCATGTTATAAACATAACAGGCATATAATGTTAATAGTTAGACTATTATAATACATAGTATATGTTAACGTGAAAGGCCCAACAGCTATAGCTACATGGTGGTCGATGTTCCGATGATAATGTTACGCGGCGGCAAAGGGCCCGGCGGGATGCGGCCGAACGCGTCTCCTGTTAGTTCCTCGGCGCCGTTAGCACTCACCTAGCCATGTTAACGAGAAGAGAGAAAAAAAAACAGAATGTTAGTATCGATCAAAATCACGTGGTCCGACTACACGAGTAACGATCACTCTGTTTACGGTTTCAAAGACGCTTCAAGTATTATCGCGTGTCGCGCTATGTTCAGTGAAAACGTCACTGCATAAATATAATCAAAATGTCACGGATATTTTACGCTTAGCTGGCTCTAATTTGTATAGGTACGGCTACAACTAAAATCGAATTCAGATTGCGACGTTGCCGCTCTGAACGCGGAGCAAGCGTAAAACTGCTACAGCGACGCTTTCAATGGACAAAGAAACTCATGCATCTATCAGAATCGCTTCACAAAAACAGCTGTTTGGGGTCATCGGGCCATTATTGAAATGACCCCTGCCAGCAGTTGATAGAGATCAAATTAGAATGGGATTTAGTGTTTATCTAAAAACAGTCTTGGACATATTGAAATAAAATAAAAAACTTACTCCAAGCTGTTAGTGAATAAACACTCAATAATAATAATATTTATACGTTAAGTCGATTTGCGAGCTGCATTTGGCATGAAACAAAAATATATTACAATATCATTATTGAAAAATAATTTTCGTAGTGATTTACATTCGGGGGCACGACATGCTTCTACTCAAGCGATAAACCGTTAAACGGATTGATGACTGGTGTACGGAATTCACAATAAAAATAAATAATAATAAAACATTAGGGGAAGGCTATCAGGCATTCGCGCCACGAATAACGTTGTCTTTGCGGCCCAGTTAATTAATACAATTGCACGGAAACAAAAATTAGTTTACGCGGTTAATGTGTTGAGAAAAAAAAATTGTTAAATTCAATTTAGTATGATAATGATCTACAAATATAGGATTAATGCCCAATAGTTCCCATTGGAGCAATGCTTGACGCATCATATTGCCATGGGAACATTTAATGAATCAAGCACTCCTCAAACAAACAAGCATAAATTTATCTTAACACTTATTTATAACCATAGCACCCAGATGCAAGTATGTAATTAGTTCAAAACAACGTTGCTATGTGTCTAAAATAATTCGAAATGGCGGCATTCTCATAAAATTTGTTAATTTTTGTGATAACGGGACAATGTCATTACATATTTGCATGTTAGTGACTCATATAATATAAATACATAGTAACAGATAATCTGCAAATTGTGACCAATAGCTGTTATGAAAAGTGCACTTAAAAATATTAAAAATTAAATTAAAAAAAAAACGGGAACTTGGCCTTGTGGAGTTGCAATGTTAGTCGTGTGAGGCTACAATCGACCATATAACTCACGTCATCAACTTTATTCGACATTGTTCACATGAAATTGTGCTTTAACAACTCAATAATAACCGCGAAAATCGACTAAAAAGAAAACGCTCTATTGAAATTTCAGACAATTTATTCAAATTTATAATCCTCTGAAAATGCATTTATTTACAATCAACAACGGAAACAATACAAAAACATTTTCACTTATCATCGTATATATAGAATAGATCATTTTATAAAATTACGAATACTTTTACTGATTGAATTTTCATTTTTATTTTATTTATAATTATTATAATAATAAAAAAGCGTGAAAAAATACGTAAACGGCATAATACGGATGCCTTTTTAAATCCACAAGGACACAAGTGCAAATTATCTAATAATAAACACTTTCAAAATACGAAAGTGTATAAAATACTTAGGCAATAATGATAAAAATAAAACAACTAGCTTAAATTTTTCATATAAAACTTACATTGACTAAGAGAACGTTGTGATGATTATCAGAGATTTGAAGTCAAAGGAAGGTCATTATTTTTAATACTGGACTGATGGCACAACTTCATAGAATGCACTTTCCTTTGACTAATACTGGGCGAGAAACAGGAAAGAAGGACTCCACAACCCGATTTTAGCACCTTAATGGATTCTTATTTGGCAATATTGAACACAATTACATTCTAATATCGAAAAATACGACCACGGCTACAGGAAATTAGACTTTAATCCTTCTTCCCTAGAGCATACTTCGAATATACCCGAAAAATGATTGTTCGAAGATCACATGTTGTGACATGAACTCTGGCAACAACATCATCGATAACAACAAATGAATTTGGTAACGCTGATGAAATGTTTTTAAACTTATACAAAGCGTATCGCGGTTTAAATAATGCCTCGCATCACAACATGTAAATACGTCTATAAAATATCTATATTAAATAAAAAGAGAAAAAAAAATCACAGTTTTCAAATTATGCAGTGTCACTCCAGATCCGGTACGAAGCGTGAACGAACTTATTCTCATACTTATAAAAGAACGTAACTAATAAGTACACAATATAATAAATACATAAAAAATAGTGACACAGAGAGACAATAAAGCAAAGACACCCACGCATACTGAGACGAATATGAATGCTGAAAAGAAAAAAAAAACCACATGAAACTTGGAACGCTACAAAAGAATCATCACTGAAAATCTTATATTTCCAAAACGTAAGTATTACGTCAACGTTAATCTAAAAACTATTACATTCCAAGTTCCACAAATCGTTTCTCAATTTGCGAACTGGTCAAGTCGATTTGAGATCCATAATTAAAATTTTCAAACTAGATATGCACACAAGGAATGTATTCTCATTCCACTTCTTTCTCCTTCCTATCTTCGGCAAGAGTTACGTCACCAAACGACTAATATTCAGACTGAATTATTCACTATTATCAAAAAAAAAGGACTGTCTGTTTGGGGAGTTATTATTTATTTTTTAATACTAAAAACCTTTAAAAGATGTTGTATTAGTGATTCAAGTGGACCATAGTTAACAATCGAAAAGGAACTTCCTCGCGCTTAAAACCATAATGTTGAATTTTATATTCAAGAAATGATTAAAATAATGAAACATTATTAAAAAGACAATGAAATAATAAGACCAGTTTATAAATCAAGAAATCCAAATGTGCGCCACAATTCTACGATGCAAGCAAACTTATTCCATCAGCATGCGTGTGCGCGCGCTTCTCACCTTGTTAACAAAATGGCGGCGTGAGCGCGTAATGGCGGATGTTTAAGGCGCCGGTAAGGCCGTGCGTTGGTAGGGGTGCTCCCTCATCGCGACTCGCCCCGCCCTCCGCACCACACCTAGCGGCACATTCACGTTTATACTGTGTCTCAATCAGAACATAATACAACGACCTCCAAAACTCGTTCCAACCTAAAGGTAAACCTAAATTAATTTATTTTTGTTCACAATTTTAGGCAATTCTGTGATACGAAAAATTGTATATCAATTTGAGAATATGAGGGTAGTGATGTTTAATAATTCGACGTGCCTATAAATAAATTGCTTTTAAAAAAAAAAACTAAACGAAACCGGCTTTAATCGTATAAATGCTGAAGTTTAAATATAATCTCATATAATATTTATGAAGAAATAGAAAAAGTTCACTTCCACTAACCTAAACGCAAGTCCAGTTATCACTGCCACAGATTCATCGATTTGTATAATATATTATTTTTATTATGGCAGTAACACTTAATCTCTGCTATTATGTCTAGGCCTATAAGATTACTATCTACCTATATTGCTTTGGAAAGAATAACAAAATAAAACATTTATAAAGTCCGACCGTATTAGGTCTATTTAAGGTACTGATAATGGCTGGCTATATTCTTTTGTTTTTAAATAAAATTGACTCGGCAGTACAAAAACTGCTGCATAATAAATTTAAATAATAAACTTCAATATACCGGCGTATATTTCACTCGTAAAGCTCACTCTTCGCTATCCTAACTAATAAATCTTTAAAAGATAATAATAATACTTATCCTATGGTATGTTTATAAATATATATTAAAAAAATGGCTAATAAATTATTAAGTTTACGTAAAGATTTTGTTTCGTAAAAGTAAAACTTTGTCCCGATATTGTTCAAAAACAAAACATTACTTTTACAACGCGTAATTTTTAACCACCTAGAATGTTCCAGAGTTTTCAGTAATAAATTGAAATTTATTCTCGATTAATTTTGTCAGTTTTGTTAAAAAAAATATATGTAAGTAGTATAAAAGATGAGTAACTAGTTTTTTTTTTTCGTTTGCAATTCAAATAATATTTGGTCCCTTTTGCTTGTAGTCGACGTTTTATTATAAGTTACTAAAGATACTGTTAACACAAAACAAATTTATTCACTATTCATAAGTATTCTGGAAATTTTCAAAACCGACGAACGGTAAAACCGAATGCAAGGCACGGAATTCCGTGTCAATATCATTCTTTCAAATCTACACATCAACTAAGAATTTTAAATGAATTTTGGACAAATTAACGTATTGTTAATAATATTAGTTGTGTTACAAGCAAGGGTTATCACAATTACTTTAAATGGTTGAAACTATACAGTTTTCTATCTCCCATTTATTCGGAAAATGTCGTGTTTGATAAAATATATAAAATACGAACAAGGACTGTTATAGGACTTGTCTTCGTAAATGAAACATCGGTAACTTAAGATTCCATTGGCAGTTTAAATACGACAAACCGCCGTTAGAATTAACACGAAAATTAAGATTCGATAAACAAACAATAATTATATTACTACTACGAATAAATAAAATCTGAAATAAAATAAATAATCTTTGAACGAACGAAAACAAAAACAAAATTTCTTCAGAAAAAAAAACGTACAACAAAAAAAAGTTTGAAAACAACAATATTTCGAGACGCTATAATACGCTATGTCGTATCTTAATTAAAACGAATCTTACACTAAAGATTGATCATGGCTTTTATATATGACTTTAAGAAACGTCCCGTGAATTTCGAAGGCTAATTTTAATACGTGAACGGAGTATGGTAATAATGTTGCGATGTGTGTAACGGCGTTTGGTGGACGCCGTATCTTATTGTCGGCTGTGACTGTAGCGGCCAATGTCAAAAGCCAGCTAGCAGATACCTCGACGCTGTAAACCCGATCAAAACAATATCACACACAGTTCATGAGCCGCACACCATGTGTTACTGGTTAATACATCGTTAATAGAAGTTATGAAGTTAGGCTTTCCGACGGTATCTCGCGGTAGATCCACAATTTAGACCGGTGTTTCCCAACGTGGGGCCCACAAGGGGGCAATTTGATAATTAAGGGGGACAATGGCACTAAATTAATGTTGAAAATATGTATTAAACTTAATTTTGAATTTGAATTTCAATTTTTTATGATATGTTTTGAAATATTACTTACTGTGTTCTGATAACAATTTCATAGAACACTATGAAATTTCTAAAACCTATCATTTATGTTTCTCAAGTGAACAAAAAACTTTTTAGGTTCAAAATTATGTATAGATTGGGGGTATAAACAATTTTAGAAACGTTACAGTGGGGATGGCACAAAAAAGGTTGGGAAACACTGATGTAGACCAACGAGGCGATATAAAACATCGTGTTAATTTATTCCGTCGCTTTAACGATATTCAAATATAATCTATCATTCGACTGTGATTAGTGGAATTTGTGTTAAATCGTATAGCTGTTTATTAAGGTCCTATTTTAATTATTTTATTCGGATGTTTCGGTAAAAATCGAAGCATTCACTGATTTTAAAATACATCGCGTTCAAAATTTTAAAACATGCTGTTATTATGTTATTTTATTTTTAATGGCTCTTTATTTCTACTCTTTAAAGCGTATGATATTTATTCACGATTACACTGGACGTCTTCTACGTGGGAGTTTCAAGAAACTCCACAATCAGCCTTTACTTAACTATTTATTTACATCCCGCTCTCACTTTATAATAATACTTTTTGCGCGAGCAGGACAGACATAACGATCTAAGTACCCTACCGCTTAATAAAATTTTTGAGACGCTCCTACTAAATTTTTTGCGTTAGTATTTTATTTTATTAAATAAGAAGAGCCCTATCTTTTTTTCATAATTAATAACCTTCTTGACTAAAGATTCATTACTGAGTAAACATTTAGTCGACAAGGCGTCGCACGAAGCTGTGAAGCGTATTATTGAACGTTCTAGAAAATCATACCATATTGTTGAATAGTTTTTGTATGTGTGTGAGTGTGTATAATCTCGACGGTTCCAATGAAATGTTGGAAAAAAAATTTACTTTCAATGAATTTCTTAAGAATTAATTTTGTAAATTCTTATATAGAAATACACTTTAACATTTTGAGATTCAATCAAATTTAGTACTGGTACATCTATTTGCAATAATTAATATACTATTGCATACTCGTGTGTATCCAATATGTACGAGTTCTTATCAGAAAGTGTACGAATATAGACAGTAGCGTAACATACGTATGTAAAATTACAGTTGTGTGATTATTTGGGTGTCGTGTGTCGTGCTATGTGTAATGCGAACGCGCGACGCCATAACCCTAATAGAATAAATCAACGGGCGAACAACCCACCGGCATGATCAGCAGCGGCGTACTCCGTGGCGAGCAGAGGGTTCGCGGCCGCGGTGAGAGCTGCGTAGTTCGCGTAGTCATAGGGCGACGCGTAGATCAGCTGATGCGCGGGCTCGCCCGGAGACAGCAGGCCGGCCGCCGCTCCCGCCCCTGCCCCGTTGAGAAGGCCGGGTTGAGCTGGCGCGGACATGCGAGGGGACAGGATGAGGGGCGCGCCGAGGGGCGCGGGAGTGCGCAGGGCCACCCCGCCCACGCCCCCTGGTGCCAGCAAACGCTGAGTCTCGGCTGCCGCCGCTGCAACGCGCCGCCATTCCTCGTCAGCTGCGGATTCGTCTAAGTGCTCTCACTATCCACTTGTGCATATTTTACGGTTCACCGTTTACATTATTTATTTATTTATTGTGGTTGGACGAGCTCACAGTACACCCGGTGTTAAGAAGTTACTGGGGCCCATAGACATCTACAACGCCACCACCCACCTTGAGATATAAGTTCTAAGATCTCAGTAAAGTTACAAGGGCTGCCCCACCCTTCAAAGCGAAACGCATCACTGCTTCACGGCAGAAATAGGCAGGGTGGTGGCACCTACGCGTGCGGACTCACAAGAGGTCCTACCACCAGTAATTATGCAAATTTTAATTTTGTGGGCATGATTTTTATTACATTACTAATTCATACCTAAATAATTATCAAACCAAATTAAAACGGAACACCTTACACGGTTATCATATTTGTAATGGCCAGTTGTTTATTTTTAGGTAAATAGAATTGATCCTTATCGTATTTTTACCAGAGTTACCGAAGCTTACGGGTAACAAAGACTATATACATGAACTTTGAGACATTGGACCGAAGTCAAAATTGTCATATCTTAGCTAGGTATTGAATTAACTTCAACTATTGAATACTAGTCAAATCAAAAATAATTATGGAAGATTCTCGGGCCTCTTCATTAGATTAGAAGCTTGTGATTAAATATTCATCGCTTGCAGTGTGACCACTGAATTTATCGTCGTCTTCTTCCAAATAATCAAACCCATGGACATACTACATTCGTATGAAAACGGGTCGAATTGGTATAGCCTGTAGGCCCATTATATTATGAGTAAAAGGTCAACCACATAGTTCATAGTGACACAAGGTTTGCCTTAATTACTAAAAAAGCATTAAGACCTAGTCAAGATCACTAATGCCAACTGCAATAGCGAACAAGAATTTAAAACTATTTTGACAGAGATTAATTAATGTGAAATCAAACCGATTAAAATATGCACCAATAAATTATTACTTAAATTACAAGTAGAATTGCAAACATTGTTTCAGCTCACATTGTTACCACCAAAACCCACAAATTTAATTACAAAACACATCGCCTCGCACCTGTGAAATAAACTTATTCCACACATTGAAAAATATTACACCAACCAACACAGTTTTTTTTTTATGAAAAATAATAGTTAATGACAGTTTCATAAAACTTCAATAACACAAACCCAAAAAAAAAGAAAGAAAAAGAAAAACTTATAACTGTAAATTTCAAACATACGGTTGCTTGAAACAATCATGCGAGTAATGCACGTTCTTACTCAAGCGACGATAAGAGAAGTGGGTCCAGTAAAAACTCGGAGGACTGATTCTAACATGCCATAAAAATCAATTTAGTCATCTCGCCTGTATGAGTCACTTCGGCAAACAAAAGGCTCAATTTATTCTCATGTCGCTACAATAGGAAACGCTATGAAAACATTGATTAATTAAAACACGTGAGACGGATGAAAACACTTGATCAAACTGATATCCCGCTAAGGTATACAAAAAAGAACTGAGTGAGTACTAAGGAAAATACAAAAAAAATACACCGATACTTATGTAGGTAATAATGAATTGTTTCTACATTCCGAAACAAAGTATCAAATAAGTATGTTTTCTTCAATTTATACAATTTCAATTTCTCAGGAAACGATGAAGCATCATCAAGCAACCTGAGTTACGGACTAAACGTTCAGTTAATTACTCCTCGAGGCGACATTTATTCTAGTTAGACTAGTCAGACAACATCGGTTTTGTACTTTGAGGCTGATCATAGGAAATACCAGTTCCGAGGCTATAAAATCGCACATCACTACGTTATGAAGTGATAAAACAGAATCGAAACTTAATTTTATCACCTTCGTAGACTATAACTTTTATTGTCTGAATCGCGTATAGGTATTGTCTATGGAATTATTAAATTATCTGTGTCCGACGAATCATTTAAATTTAATTTTCGAATAGACGTTTCGGGACGACGTCAATTTTACGAAACGTTCGTTAATGGAGGATTTAATAACTGAACTTAAATAGGTAATTCCTATTGCAAATAATTAGTGACTTATGATTAAATATTAGTGACAAAACATGAATGCGACCATACTTATTAGGCACTGACCGTTCACAGGAACGGACACCTTCGAGCTGGAATCACGGTAAGTTCCATTTATGATCGCCAACTCCATCAACTGGCGCTTCTTCAGTTCATCTTCACCGTCAGCTTGCTGTGAAACAAGATTAAACAAAATATTTAAATTTCATTTGAAGAACACGATGTATACACACACACGAGTAATGTCCTTGATAGTTTTATAAATAATTCTCAAAAGTACATACATTATGTTTTGTTCAAACTTTGTTGTAGAATTTAAATAAACAAGATTTTGGGGTGTTGTATTAAAAAAAGAACAATAATCTCAGTTTATGACATTGTATTATTTTTGGATAAGACTTTTCATTAGCAAAAATGAGATAATGTTCTAAAATTCAAACAGATGACGTAATCAGACCTTAAATAAATATAATGCGTATTCAATAGTGTCCTGAATAGTTTTTTTATGTTCAGTCTTAGGACTTCGGGCTGTAATAGCAAATACAAATTTAATTTATATTAAATATCACGTAAATACGCAACATCTTAACCTTTGTATTAAGATAATGTGTTAACAACTGTCAAGTGTTTTACGACGAGCAGTGTAACCTAGAAATAGTTTCACCACGTGATTTCAATGGTCGCCTCGTTAGTTTGTTATGTGACTATAGCTACTTTGTACCCTCTTAGTCTCAAAGTTTGTTCAAAATATTCTCCATTTGGAGAACTCCTAGTCTGATACCTATAAATGCCGAATGTAATTCTATTATATTTTATATCGCATTTTCACATTATTAACAATCCATTATTTTTAGCAGCCGCATATTTAGAGCAAATGTGGAATATTAGTCACATTAGTAGTTAAATATATGTAATAGATTAAAGTTTCTTAAAATATTTCACATAATATATTTTTGCGTCTTGAAACACTAACATCGAATTCTAAATGCTTTTTGATTTCACCACTGTATGGACATCCATGCTGTGATGAAATCAATGCGGTCGTTCAATAAAAAAAATTATTAAATTATTTTTAAGTCTTTAATTTACTCGTCTAAGTTACTCTCTTATGACCCATATGCTAAAATATTTATTAATTATTGAGTGTTGGTCATCACGATACATTAATATATTTGCAGCGTTTTTTTTCTGGAATTTGAAGTCAACAGAGCATGTAATGACATTTCAGTTTGTAGAATACTTACTGGCACAAGGAGACGCTTCACTTCATCAACGGCCCTCGCTAGCTTTATCTTGGCTCTGTTTTCAGTATCTTCAACTGTCAGCAGAACGTGGAGGTCATCTGCTAAGTGTTCCCAATTGGGTTTGCCCCTGTTTGCATCTTCCTGGAATATTGTAGTAAAACATACAGAATAATTAACTTTTATTCAGTTCTTCGTATAACAAAACAAACAGCAGTAGTAGATACGTAATTGCAATACGTAATTATATTTAATCAGGTTGAAAATTTTCAGACAAAATATTAATAGATTTATGCACAGGCCATGTAAATCCCGTTAATAAGATGAATCTAATGAGATTTCAAATGTTAAAATCGACCAAACCATTTAAGCTAGAGGAATTTGATCCAGAAATAGCATACATTTGTGACAACATACAAATACTAGGGAAAGTCAACAATTATATTCCCTACTTGGACAGTCAAGTAAACACAAAAGACTATTGACATCAAAGGTCTGTTCAAAACGAATTTTATTTATTACATTACACAAGACTATGGATCGTTCAGCTAGTGACGTAAGTGTTTAATCAATCGTTTTCTATTTAGCTTTAACAACGAAAACAGTAAATACATCATTAAGGAAAATGAATGTAAACATTACATCTCACATCGGTTCCGTTGAAGCTGCGTGTAAAACGGAAATCAAATCATTTATTAAACAACTAACAAATAAACAAACGTATTTACGATTGGCTCCTGTCATTTTACAAAACATAGAATCTCATTTGAAGACCAATCAAAGCCTAAATCCAGTCGTGTTACTAGTAGTACGTGTCCAGTTATTAGCTTTAGAAATCACTTGAGAGATATACAGAGATGTATTCAAAAACAAGATAAACATGTTAAGTTAACGATATTACCTTTTTCTTGTCCCTCATCGACCCTTTTCCTCTGACCATAATTTTGCACCCTGTTTCTTGTTCCAACTGTTTTGCGGTCATACCTCTGGGTCCTAGAATCCTTCCCACGAAATTGAACTGTAAAAAAAAACATTGAAGTTTTATAATTTGACTGAAAATATTCTTCGTCGCGTACTGCTACGGAACTTGGCAACGAAAAGTCGTAAGAACGGATGTTAGAGTTTTTTAATACATCGTCAGCTAATAATTGTCTCATAAATATTTATAATCACCCAAATTCTTGGACCATCTATTTTCGAAGATTATAATGTTTCGCGATTATCTAATCCAAATGGCATTGTATGATCTAACACCATTAGCCGTTGGATTAATTACTCGCTTCGTTACACGCTTAACATATTTCCTGTGTATTTTAATGTGCTAGTGTAAATTTAACCTGTACAGAACCGAATGCTTCTAACTCGTGGTCAGTAAACATATACGAACTGTGAACCAGTATCATTCAACCGTCTGAGAGTAATGCCGAGAAATGTACTAGTTGGCAAGAGGCCAAATTGTCGATGAATTTTGTACTGACACTTTTTCGAAGGGATATTTCAAGGAACGAAACCGTTCGGTCAGCTAGAAACATGCGAACGTAGTAAACAAATATTGAGGTTAAAATACGTCGCATGTTTCATGGTAAGCTGTTTACTGTGACAGCGTGTAAATTGCTGGAAGATGTCATTAGTTATGACTGAAAAATATAATTTATCAACAATAACAAACTAATATTAAGTTTTAAAAAAAAAAACTGGGCGCAACTCATCGTACAGTTATAAATCACATTTACTGTGTGTACCTCCACCGACACCAATAGATTCGTTATTTAGATTGTGACAATGTACTTCAATAAGAAATATGAGACGCGGAAATAGGCGCCGCGAACAAGACGGGACAGCATTCATTACCCGTCGCGGTCCAGCGACTGTGACGCTGATAGACGACAAATTATAAATCACTCAAAGAACAGACGGACCGAATCTTCACATGCCGATTCATATCTTTATCGATTGAATAAGTCCAATGAAACTAACCAACTGTGCAACTAGGCGAGGCAATCTGTTGATTTAACTACGATTGGCAAATTCTCAATTTAGATAAAGTATTTTTTGTCGCGCATAAGTTGCACATTGTATATTGTTGGTGGTCTTTGTAAGTTTAAAGCTACATCACATATTGACATTTCAAACATATCTAACAATTCAGAGATGCGCACCCGAAGGCATACCGGCCTATTTAATTTATATTAAATCTTATCGCGCAAAATGTCGGAAAATTTAATTACGGCTAGCTCGTTGTATTCGCGTCAGAGAAAGATAAAGAAAGAAACATGTTGGACCAGTACGAACATAGAACATAACCCATTTTTTTCTTTAAACCTACTTTACGGAACTGCTATACAGTTTGAAAAGTATTATTTTCTCTTGTTCATTGTCGCGGTTTACCGAAGTCGTACAGGCCTAGCAGTTATCTACAAATGGCCCTAATTGTAGTGGACTACTAGTACTTAGTGGCTTCCCACAAACAGCTCACCTTAGAAGATCGGTCATAAACACTGAGAAGTTATAAACATTTTTTTCAATTCCATGTAAGTTCGTATTTATATAAAGTTAATATTTAAAAAAAAAGATGCGTGGTGTCGTGGGACATCGGATAGGAACGAAGTTCCTTATTATAAAAATATGAATTTTAAGTTTTATTCGAGGTATAAACAAAAAAATGATTAGAGTATACATTTTTTATTATCATTTTTTTGATAAAAGAAAAAAAAACTACTTTACAAAGTTATCAACTTTATTTTATTTACAATGATTTATAAAAAATATGTAATTTTTTGTACGTTATTACAAAGTTAAGTCACACACTGTGTGCATAACTAATAAAAATCTTACGTTACGGACGTTTTTTCTCTGTTAGGGTACCCCTCCGCATCGTCCCATAAGGAACTTCATACCAAAAATTGGCATTGGCAGAATACCAAAGACCCTTACAAAAACCATGTAAAGCAGCGTTGGAGTTTCGTAAAAGAATTCGTTTAAAATAAGGAACTGATAAACAAATTCCGTGTATGTTTAAACGACTGGAATGACGAGACGAACGAACTCGGGGATTTAAGAAATTTCGAAATTCTGTCGCAAATCCCGATCGTTTGGCAGCGCGCCCATTTTTTACGTTACTCCATCTTTCCCTCTCTAAGTAATATTTTTATGAGAAAAGTAATTATTTTATTTTTAAATAACATAAACACGAACGAACGTTAGAACGATCACGTTTGACATTCACGACGTATTTTATTTTAGACCGAACGCTTCTCTCGGTGGCAGTCTCTGGGCACAGCTGACACGTGTAAAGCTACAATGAATTCAGCGATAGCACAAACAACACTAGTATGCAAATAACAAGCAATTACATTGTATAAATTTATAATATTTATCCAATGGTGCGTCAGATTTGTTTTCGTTAGAATAAACAACGTGAGAGCTACTCCGGACGGCTCTCACAGTTAATTTTAGTTCCTATTCAAATACAAACACAAAACAGCAAAAAAATAATTACATTATATTTTTTCACGACTTTCCTTTTCTTCAGTATATCTGATACCAGTTAAACGGTTTCTGTACACCAACACTTCAGATCAGCATTTATTTCTTACACTGGTGGTAGGACCTCATGTGAGTCCGCACGGGTAGGTACCACCACCTCGCCTATTTCTGCCGTGAAGCAGTAATGCGTTTCGGCTTGAAGGGTGGGGTAGCCGTTGTAACTATACTGAGACCTTAGAACTTATATCTCAAGGTGGGTGGCGGATTTGCGTTGTAAATGTCTATGGGCTCCAGTAACCACTTAACACCAGGTGGGCTGTGAGCTCGTCCACCCATTTAAGCAATAAATAAAAACCTATTGATATATCTTGGCAAGAGACTGAAATTGCATCTATTGTCAGCAAAATTAACAAAGACGACCAATGTACCTGTTTCATTACCGTTATAACTTTAAACGGGTCGTGAATGAACAGATTGAGAGAACGAATTTGCTCGAAACGAGATAAGGAAATCGTTTTATGGTGTAAACAATAGTTCCTATGGGAAATTGGCCGCCAGCACATCAGACCGATAAATTTCTATTGCATTCGATTCGAAGCCTACGGCAACAAGAAACGCCTCCTACAAGGTAGAGAGCCTGATTAAAAAGTAGTCTAAAATTGGTATGGTCATTTTAATTTCTGACTTGTTGCTATCAAACAAATATATTAATAATTTACACACAAGGAGTTTTCATATCGCAAATCGTGTCGTGTTGTTATAGATAACATTTTGTCTCTCAGAAATGGTTTTTTTTTTCATGAGGTATCTTACGATATGCTCCAGCAAAGTTCATATGTCTCCAATAACTGGAAACGTTTATCACCGATAATTCGTGAAACAATTCTAACATAACAGGAAAATAATCGAATACAAATAATCGATTCGTAATGTAAATAAATCAACATCTATTTACGTTGTTTCAGACGCTGTTAATGCTGCAGGCGCCTAATTATTAAAGGAAACTATATATTATTTTAATATATATCTCTACGTGCCTGTCAGTTTATTAGATTTACGACTAGATGAGAACATAAATACAAGAACATTTCATTATTAAATTCAACTATTTCTTATCGTTTGGTTATACTTTCAATTCTAAAACTCAATCGTCGTGGTTTATAACGGTCCAGTGGTAATTAATTTGATTCTGAAATCATAATTCTGGACGGACCACGTCATGACGTGATTTATTGTATACCTATTACAAATTTGATGAATGCCACATTGTTTCTAGAAAGGGAATGCAGCAGAACTGGATCATACGCCAGTCGAGGCAGCTCATGTAATTCCAATTTAGTTATTAACTCACCTACGCATTGAGTCCGTTAAATAATTGATTCAATGACATATCGTAGTGCATTTTGTCCATTCGAGAGAGATGTTTAAATGAACAATACACTGGAACTCATCATTTCTGCGCAGCAAAAATAGGCAGCAATTTTAATACCGAGCTCACATAATCAAGGTAGGTCACAGGAGATGATCAAATTTCATCATCAGGTTACGGGAATCCATATAAAACCATCAGTCGCATACCCTTATAGTGGATCGCATACTAATAGCCATAAATACTACTATCTATCATGCATTATCCATGGACCATACAACCAACAGATATAATGATATTGTTATAATTTCAATAATGAATTCATCACTTTTAATTTCAGTCAATCTCGATTCAAATGAAGATGCTCTCATTTTGCTATAGCAACTTTAACACATAATAAGTCGCCTTGGCCTAATGTGTAAGACACCCATCCAGTGTACTCATATCAATACGTATCGTAAGCCCACACGTAGCTCTAGGTAGCTATCGACAGCCTTTATAAAATACAATTGAGACTTCGACCTCATGTCTCAAGGTGAGTGACAACATTCGCTTTGTCATGTATATGGACTCTTTTAACGATAGCAAGCACGTTCACCCAACAACGCAACAAATAAAAAACCCTAATTGATACGTAGGTAACAAGCAACTCCAACAATTCACGCAATGCACCGAAGCCCGGATATATTAGTTAAATTAACGTGACATTGCCCCTAATGTAACTACAATGGTGTTTGTATTCAGTAGAAATGTGCAGCTTCGCCGAACGTAATTGGCAGTGGTTTTATGCAGTAATGATAGCGCGTCGATGATACCGCAAACCACTCGAATTGTACGGCCGCCAACCATAAATTATGGTCAGGATATACCTACGTCCAAACTTTGTTATTCTGAAAGGTGCATTACTGTGCGCCTGTACAACAAAATCCCACAAGATGTTCAGAACCTACATATACGTAGGTTTAAGAAAACTATTAAAGAACATCTGTGCAATAAAGCTTACTATAAAGTCAATGAATATCTAGAAGATTGCACAAAGTGGGAATGAGTTGCTCACTCCGGGCATTTCAATATTGTAATAATTGTTACGTTATAATACTCATTGCAAAAATTAATTAAAAAAAAAATCTAATATAAAAAAAAGACATGCTCGCTGGGTTTCT